GGTGAGAACAAAGATCTTGAATTTAATCTATTAGGAGATGGGGAGCCAGTAGAGCCAAGCAAAGATGTGGGCTCATACGATCATGGAGTCTGGTGCAGAAGAGGACATGGACTGCAGAGTTGTAGATAGTTTGCAGCTCATGTGGGGAAGAGCTGGGGAGTCCCATCGAGCAAGGCATTGATATATACAAACTTGAATGTGATGAAAGCATGAATGAGAGTCTTGGCAGCCAGAGGGGAGATTTTTTAAAAGCCATTATCCGAATGGTGACTCTCTCAATAATTGTTGTTCTAAAATGTTCTAATTTCCCATTTCGCTTTTCATGACTTGCAATCTCAAGGTCTTCTTTGCCTTAACATTGTCATTGTAGCACACGAATTATAGGATACATAAATTGTAGCCCAATTTATGAATTCTTCTGCTGGGTTGGGTCCTACAGGCTAAGCATATATCAAAGGGTTATCTGAAACAGTTGAAGCTGTTAATTTATCAAATACGGTTCTATAAAAAAGAATAAGTTGCAGGGACATGGAAAATAGACATGTAAATGTGATTGAATGCATTTCTCTTTCAAGGAGTCAGCACAGATATAATGAGTTGAATAGCTGGCTTTCTTTTGCGCTATAAATTTCTATGGATTTATAGCTGCCACATACACCTGTAGGATTGACCTCAGAGAGACATTAATTTATGGAAATGTTGGAAACAGTACTTCTAGTCTTAAAGCAGCATTGTGTGCGCAACGTCTGATGACTACAAATTAAATTTAATAAAAGTAAATGCAAGGTAACACATTTAGCCCTCCCAAGGCGCTACCCTGCATAAAGGGCGCTATATCAATGCAAGTTGTTGTGGTGGAAGTAACAATAGGAGGTAACAATGCACTCCACGAATGGGTTAGAATTTTCCAAGAGAGCGGAAAGAGATCTAGGGATGTTAGTTGAGTCATCGCTTACCAAGTCGAAACCATATGAGGCAACAATAAACAAGGCAAACAGAATGCTGGATTATATTGCCAAATAGATAGGGCAAGTGTTCCGGCAGGATGAGATCAAATGGGCCAAAAGGGCTTCTTCATCTGAACAAATATTGTAATTTTGTGGAAAAAATCTTAAAATAATCCTTGCATTTGGTATAGTGACTTCCACATCAGGAGGTTATATCAAAGTGCTTCACAGAATTTACCGTAAAAGTTTAGTGACCGTATATTTTGTAGGCAAACATAGCAAACAATTTGCACACAGTAATGTCCTAGAAAACAGTGAAAATTTAGTCCATCTTCAAAGAACATGATAATTTAGCATTCTGTAGAGCTAGTATAAAACTAGTCCTGTCTTAATACACCCAAAAGGGACATAATTATCAGAGTAAAAGTATACTGTTCCAGAAGTACCAATTAAATTAGTTTAATTAAGATTTGTTGGCTGAAGAATATACCTCATGGAATAGTTCATGTTGTCAAAAGGGGCAAGGACGTACACATGTGATTTTTGAATTCCATCCATTACACACTACTGTCCCGACAGAAATCTGACCCCATAATTTCTGACATTCACTCTCTGTGGCTGCCATTCCCCAAGTAGTAAAAATCCATGTGCGTATGGGCAGCTGAGTTTGATTTTTAATCACCACTAAAATAGGAACTCAGAGTCATCAACATAACAATGAAAGTACGTAATTTACTATGTTGATAATCCATCACAAGATTTTATTCTGAAGGTCACCTGTATGTAATAACGAATGGCATTACAATCCTCAAGGATACAATCCTGATGCATATAGAGACTGTCCTGTGCTGTAATTGAGCTTCTGCTTTCACCTTATGAAATGCTGTTTTTTAAAAAAAGTAGCAATTTATGCTTGACAAAATATAACATGAAAGTTTTTTTTAAATTGCATTGAAATCTATCTCTAAGTTATTGATTAAATCTACATATAGATTTATTGATGCATTCATAGGTGTTACAGCTCAAAAACGGGCCTTTCAGCCCATCCAGTCCGGCCGGTGTTTATACTCCACCTGAATACCTATCATAGATTTCTTGTGGACAAAGGGATATCAGGATAAGGTGGGTAGGTGGAGTTAGAACAGATCAGCCATGATCTTATTGAATGGCGGGGCAGGCTAGAGGGACCAAATGGCCTACTCCTGCTCCTAATTCTTATGTTCTCAGATCCTATCCCTAGTCCCAATATTCCAGCCTTTTCCCCATATCCCTTACCTTTATTCTCTGTTAACCACGGTCCAGTCATTTTTTGAAGATGCACATGGTTGCTGCCCCAACAACTGACTGTGACAGAGAATTCCACACTCCTATCATTCTCCATGTAAAAAAGCTTTTCCTAATTTCCATTCTGGACTCCCAGTTTAAACCAATGCCCTCTAGTTCACCTAACAACCGGAAATAATCTGTCACTGTCCACCCTATCTAAACCCCCTATCATCTTATATACATCTGTCATATCTCCTATCAGCCTTCTGAGTTCCAAAGAAAAAAGCCTCACTTTATCACGCCTTTCCCCATAACTGCATTTCTTCATTCCAGGCAACAACCTGGTGAATCTTCACTCTAGGGTCACCTCTAGGCCCTTAATTATGTTTCCTACAATGAGGAGCCCAAAACTACTCAATCCATTATCCATCCAATAATAATTAATTCTTGTTTTAATTGGAAGTCAAACCATGATGTTATTAACAGTTAGTTATTAGTATGTTGTAATGTGTAGATGTTTTCAGCAACACTGAAAGACACTAAATAGATAATCAGAACATCATGGAAATATGATCATAAATACTGCATCATTTATTTGGACCTATCCTGTCCACATTTGAGTATTGAGGGGAATAGAAATAAGGATATGTGAGGGAATAAGAAAGACTCATGTGATGTATAAACACCAGCACAGACTAGTTAGACCAAGTGGCATGTTTCTGTGCTGAATGTTCTTCACAATCTTCTTTGTAAATGAGAACTGTTGTGAACTTAGTAGGAAGTTGAGGAACATTTTTAACCCTTCTCTTGCCCAATACTATTTAGATTGTGTTCCATTCTGAGGGCACATGTCTTTCCCTGAAAGTAATGAAAAACAGATTAAATACTCACATGTGATGAAAGTCACAAAAAAATGAATTATTTATGAAAAAACAATCATTTTAATATAAAGACTGCTCTAACATTGGGAATGTTTTTAGAAATAGTTCTATTGAAGCTTATTTTGTGCTATAAATACCTATACTGTGGGCAAAAGGGGGTTTGTTTGGAGATATTAATAATAATAATAATAATAATCCTTGCATTTGATATAGGCTAAATTCTTATTAGTTGAAATAATTTCTTTATATATAGCAAAACATTTTCCCCTAACATTCATAACAGGAATGTTACACAAATGCTATTGATATGTTATGCTCTAACAACTGCCTATTTCTTCCCTGAACTAATTTCTTCATTATTAGTCTAAAAAGATTCCCTAACAAGTATTTGTAATGTGTGTATTTCAATTCCTTATAAAGCTCTGAGGCCATATCAGTAACAATTAGGCTTCAACACAATTTGCAACCCATTGTTGTTAAATTGTTTGTAATTCTCAGATTTTTCATTACTGTCATGAATTATCCTGAAGTTTCCTTTATTGTAGTAAACTATAGAAATGTTCTATTGTAAGAATGGGCCTAATGACTTAATATTTAATATAGGAGAATAGTAAATACTGTTATAGAGTTCACTTGCACTATTACAAAAACAATTTTCTTTCTTCATTTGAGATAGGCTTGCTTTCATGTGAAAGTATGAAATATTTGTATACTGTGGTTCTATTAGGTGTAGCATTCCTTACATGTACACAAAATTGGTAAATTTATGGAAAATAGTTTATTTGAATACATCATAGCCTACTTATCGATCTTTTGATTTAGGGCACCTATGTGTTGAGTTGTTCTGTGTCATGTAATTCAATCAGAAGTGAGGATGACCAACTTTTATATAATATAACTTTTATATAACACAACAACAACAACAAGATTCCATTTATAGAGCGCCTTTCATGTCGGGAGGATGTCCCAAAGCGCTGGACAGTTGGGTCAGGACCCGAGCAGGGGGGAAATGGTCAGGGTGAGCAGAGGGAAGGGAGGGAGTGAGGAGCGGGGGAAATGGTCAGGGTGAGGGGAGGGAAGGGAGGGAGTGAGGAGGGGGGGGAAATGGTCAGGGTGAGGGGAGGGAAGGGAAGGAGCAAGGAGGGAGGGAAATGGTCAGGGTGAGGGGAGGGAAGGGAGGGGAGGGGGCGAGGAGGGGAGAAATGGTCAGGGTGAGGGAAGGGAGGGAGCGAGGAGGGGGGAAATGGTCAGGGTGAGGAGAGGGAAGGGAGGGAGCGAGGAGGGGGGGAAATGGTATTTTATACCATTTTCTTATTTTATTTATTATATCTTATTTTATTTAGATAGTATTTGTTTGCCTTTAAATCCCAGTCTCAGTAAGTCGTGTCCCAAATTGCATCAATGCATACTGCATAAATATTTGGTGGCAATCTTATCAGTTGCCTAAATAACTGAAGCACTGTTTCTTCTCAGCTGGTAGAATGCTGCTAAGTATGATGTACCATTATTCCCAAAATATCGAGTTGGCTGTATATATGTTGTGAATATATTGTCCTTACTCAACCCATCAAATATTAGCAGCAATATTTTATACCATATTAGGCTAGAAAATAATGGAATCCAGACTACTATAAGAATCATTCCAGTTTGTTTTAAGTGTTCATGTGAAATACAGTATTTAACATTTTAAATTTGCGGAAATTGTTTGATGGGATATGGCTGATAAAAATATGGTTATTCATGTATTTATACAGTAAAGTATATGTACGCATCTTTATATTATTCTCACTAACTTTTTTTTGTATGTGTGACAATCTGTACAAATCATTCATTTGTGATTTGGATTTTTTTATCACTATTTACTGGGGCAACTTTTTTGATCTTAAGGATACCTTTTTTCTTTTAGTTCAACAAAGTGCGAACCATCACCACTAGATCTAATTCTGTCAAGCAAGGCAAAGACCAGCATTTCCCAGTCCTAATGAATGAGAAGGAAGACATTCTCTGGTGCACTGAAATGGAAAGGTACACTTGTTTTTCTCATAATAAGTCTAATTTTTCCACTTCTAACTATAGTGATGGAATCTTGTTCTTCCACTTTAAAGCAACATCATTGAACTGCATTGAGGTATGTTTTTTTAAAAAATGGTTATTTGACATCTCTCTTCACTCTACCTCCAATTATGTGTCAGCTGGTAGGTCATGGGAGACATATCCTCCTGTAAGGAAAAAAAATGGGTCTCAAAAAATATCCATAAAGTAGCAAATCCCATCTCTTCTTCCACTTTGGTCCAAATCTTACTTTTAGTTCCACAAAGTGGAACAAAGTTTTCTTTCACTTTCAATTGAACAATCTCAATTTTGCAACTTTCTACCTGTGATTTGCTTGAATTCAGCCTTGTGGTTTGTTTTTATTCCTAATACAGTGAAAACTTTGGTATGTGAAGCAATGTGAATAAATGTCACTGCTGGTAATTATCACATTGACCAATCTCCTCTTGCACCCATAGTTTTAGCACTAAATCTTCCATAACGTTCTCTGGTTTCTAATGATGATCTCTATTATAGACTCTATCTTGCTCTATATCCAAAGGAAAACTTGCTTTCAATTTCAATTTAGGTTTACATTGAAAGAAAGCATGTATGGGATACTGTAGAATCAGGTGCTGAGAGGGAAGACTAGGTATCAGATGTCAAGTGGAGATTCTCCCAGCATGAAGAGTTGAATTGTTCCTGGGAACCGCATGGTGCCTCCTGGGAGCCACAAACAGGCTGCATTATCAACACTCATCTACTATATGTACATCTAAATATTTCTTGGTCAAACTCCCGGAGGCTACACTTTAATAGAAAAGAAGGAACCATTGCATCATTTAGCTCCTATCAGTTTTCCTGTCAGTTTAAGCAAATGCATGTTTTTCGTTACAGAGGGCAATGGAGACTCTGTTGCTGTTTTATTTTTCTTCTCTTTCACAGGCACTCTCCCCTTTACATCAGCTTGCTTTTAATTTTAATTTTGTTCATGGTAAAGGAATCTCCATTGCTAGTGCAAAAGGGAGGTACTCAGAAATCAGAAAAAATATAGAGTGAGACTTTTCCACAACATGCTCCTTGTTCTACATATCTGAATAAACTAAGAGGAATGTGAATAAACACTGACACATTCACCCTTCTTCTTGTGTAGTTTTAGCAAGCAAAGTTAAGCCATTTGAACAACACCACAACGTAAGTCAGATATTTTACGTCATTCTGGTGTTATGTCGTTGGGACATCCTCCCGGCGTGAAAGGTCTTTACAGATGTAATTTTGATGTTGTTGTTACACAATTATTTAAAAAATCAGATCCACATCAATTATCAGATTCACTGAAAGCAAATTAATCCCATATCCTTCTACAGGGGTCTGCATGCTGATCAATTTCCAATTAAGGACTAAGCTTGTTGCTAAATTAGCTGATGTTGTAGAATTTTGCATTTTCTTTGCTTTTTCCATTGGGTAAGTTAAATTTCAATCCCCTTCCCCCATTTATAAATGGCAAGAAAACTAACAGGAATGCTTGATACAACTTGGGATAGATTTGTAGCCAAGTCAATTAATCCCAACTGACTCAGCTACAAATCAATATCCCAGTCATAAAGAAAATCAAGATTCAAAATATTTATTTTATTGGTCTGACAATTACTCAGAATTCATCAGTGGGTGAGGTACTATAGACATTCATCATGTCAATTATAATCCCTCAAGGTTGACAGCTCCTTGCAGTGGTGAGGCATCGCGGGGCTCACTAAAAGAAGATTCCAGATTCCATTGTAACCCTGCAGTATAATTATATTAGTGTATTTTTGCTTTCTCTTCAGGGTATTTGGTTTCCCTGTTCATTATACAGATGTCTCCAATATGAGCCGCCTTGCCCGACAAAGACTTCTGGGGAGATCCTGGAGTGTTCCTGTCATACGTCACCTGTTTGCGCCACTGAAAGAGTATTTTGCCTGTGTTTAAAAACAAAGACGAAGGAACTTATTAAAGAACAAGGAAAGAACTTAATTTACTCAAGAAAAAAAGTCCATTCAGTTAGACTTACCTAATTTCATGTATTTTAAATGTTATTCTTTTTATCCTATTTAATTTTTTTAAAGTTTTAATTTTCTGCTATTTTAATGGGGGTTTTGTAATTTTTGTTGTTTTTGCTTTGTTCAAGCTGTACTTGAGATGCGGCTTTTCAATCCTTTGCAGCGCTGTGAAATAAGAACATTTACCTGGTGTAGGTGGATAGGAGCACAAGCAAGGAGCTGGAATTGAGCAGAGCCTGAAACATCAAGTCAGCCACAGACAGCTGAGCCTTATGTTACCATTGCCATTCCTGGTATCTCTACGAGCAAAAAACAAAAAAAGCTATATTCAAATACTGTACAGTATTTCAGGTGCCTATCAACCAGAAACCACGAAGAATCAGTACATCAGCTGCAAATACCTCTCATTTACAGTAAATTGACAGTTGTTCAGCAAAGGTACTACTGTGCAACAATTTCTGCAATGGTGCTTTTACAAAAGGTGATTTGAAAACATCAGCCATGATGTTGCCTTACCGTTTACAACAGGCAGAATTGTAAAATAATCAGGAAAGAGCAACATTTAATGTTGCTGAGATGGTCTTTAGTGGCTTGAGCGCGAAACAATGTAATAACATTTTTGTTTGCTCCAGAAGTCACTTTAAAAAGGACTTTTGCCATGACTGTAATTTTTCTATCATATTTGTAAAATAAGAAAAATATAAAACATAAAATGGTGCTTTTTTCTTAAGCCTTCATCCTTAGGCCTGAGGGCTACACAACAGGTCATTCTGGGCAGCACAATACCAGCCAACATGCAGTGATGTTTTTAGTCATCTGAAACTGAAACAACAGGCTGCAGTTTTTTACTGAAGGACTGATGAGTTTTTTTTACATTTTGTTTTGTTTTTGTTTTTAAATTTTCTAAGGGGTCTCTTTTATACCAGGACATACCCCTTCTTGTAGCTGCATATAATCAGGTACAAGTCAATGCAGTGCAGCTTGGCATTGTAATTTTTGCCTTTTGTTTTCTTTTCTTTCCCATTTTCTTCTTTATCCTTTGGCTTACATTTTGTGTTAATCTCAGTTTTTTTTCGTTGATGAATTGTTTATGCGAATTGTATTTCTGCTGTCAGTACTTGATCAAACACAGCTGTCAGTTTTCCTTGAAGCTGTAGTCGATTCATATGGTGCTACACACTTTTTCTTGAAATCTTAAAAAAAATCTGCTTTCTTGACAATGACTTATTAAGTTCTTATAGTCAAGAAAAAGCACTATTATTTTAGTCTTTTAAAAAAAGAAAGTCATTTTAACTTTGTACTTGAAAAGAAAAAAAATCAGTTTCATGTGTTTTAGCTTAGTGCCGTAGTTGGTGCTTATTTGTGAGAATCATGTATTCATATTGAAGACAATGTAGTAAATTTGCTAATACTTTTACTGTTACATATGTATTTGCTTGATCCCCAGCAGCAGTGCATTTCCTTTCCACATTCCATGCAGCAAGCAGTATTTTGGTTTATTTCTTCATTCTACTGTCATAACTTTGATAATATTTATTGACAATAATGTGCATTTCAAAGTTAACGGTTATGAGATTTCACTGAAGGTCATAACTCGGTGAATATTGTATTACTGTGTATTGCTCGTGACATAGCTGTTTATGGAAAGGTCAGTATGTGCAGCAGATGTAGCAGTCAACTTCCATCCAGTTTTTAATACCCCAAAATGTTCCTTTCTTATGTACTTGTGCTGGAGAACACTTGAATAAATGTATCGTTTTTGTGCAAAGTGTACACAGTATTGGTTTGTTGTGTATTCTTTTGCTTCTCTGGTATTTTGTTTCTCCCTCCTGCCCCCTCCTTCCCAACTGTAGATCCAATTAATTGATATCTGTTAATAAAACCCACATTATCAATGTGATCTGATTCCCACCAATCTACCAGTCAGTTGTCAAGTAGGAGGCTAGCTGCTTATTAAGGGAATCTGTAGCTTACTTTGTTTTTACCTGCTTATTGTGTTGACTTGCTCAAAAAAAAACTCCAAGTACTGTATTTGACAATCTATTCAGGCTCACCTTTCCATTTCTCACCTGTTGAAGGAACCTCTCTGGCCCCGAAAGCTAGCGTCCATGGGACGCAACTAGCTGGTTCATTAAGAGGTATCATATGCAGTACTTTGGAAAGTTTTAGTCAGAAATAGAACCCTCTGCCTGGTGTTCTGCACTGTACACTGCTGTGTTGTGAGGAAATTATACTTGCAACATTGCATTTTTTTAAAAAAAACATTGCCGGGCAACCTTCGTTGCCTCTTTCTTGCTTACCTGCTGACTTCATTGTGGACCTGTTTACCAATCCAAACGGTCCCAGGTGCTTCTCATTATCAAGAGTACTGTGCTGCAAAATGCTGACCTTATTAGATCATAGGACTATTGTACAATCAGCATAAATAGAATAATGACATGATCGGGGGAAAAAAAAACTGTGCAAGCCTGTTCCATTCGGAACAGCGTTAACCTGCAATTGGGGAAGTATGTTTTATTATTTGTCTTCCCACCTCTTTCATTGAGTTATGTGATCAGAAAGCAAATAATTATCAATAAATAAGGAGCTTCTCACAAATAACCCTTTCTCCCTCCCCACCCCCACCACCAATTTGGAGCACAGATGTGAAATCCTAGTAACAGATTATTAATATTCGATATAGAAACGAAAAGACTGGAGATATGGTTGATACTCCAGCACATCAATTTAGTGAGAATTTCACCCCAATTATATATTTTTGTATTTATATTTTTTCCCAGTTTTTAACCATCTTTTCCCAACATGATTGCCCATCTCTATATGCCTTTCCTTCAGCCAGGGGAGCAGAGAGATCCAAGCTGGGAAGACTTTTTCCATAAATGCTACCATCAGTCAATAGAGGATTTGTGCTTATCATAGCAGGAGATGGCTGTTTGTCCTCCCCTTGAGCAGGACGCTAATTCTGGGTCATATTCCACTTAAATGCATAAAATTGATTTTCAGCAAATTGATTCAAGTGACTGGCAAGCTGTGTGTGGCACTTGTTGGTTAATATGCTGAACACATTCAAAACTGAATCTGGTAGAGCAGCCCATTTGCTCCAGTGGTAGAGCACAAGAGTGTTAGCCAGAGAACACGTTTGGGGGGAAAAAAAAGAGGATTATGTTTTGCTTTTGACTGAACTGCTAAATATAATGTTTTGAAGCAGAGAGCTCCACCTCAGGAGCTAAACTTCCTCCCTTTAAACCAACATTCTCCACCGCTTGGCACTGTTCACCCCTCTTGGCTGAAGATGAAGCATATTGATGCCAGAGATGGCAACTTTAAGGATCTAATCGGGAAAAATGGGATACAAAATATTTTTTAAAACATATAAAGAAAAGTACTGAATGGATAAAATCTATTTGTGATAAATTTGGAGTCCATTCTGGAGGGCATTGTATCACATCAGGGGTAACGGTCATCCACTACCTCTGAGACTCCTGAACTTCAGGGCACAGAGCAGCTGTCTTAAAGGGGCACTACCTTTGTGAAAAAATTGTTTGGCAAACTCTTGTTACAATCCCACAGCACAGTGATATAAATTGTTTCAAAGCACATCACTGTGACCCTTCCTTTTGACAAAAATGGTGCATCTCCCTTTTCAAACAAAAAAAGTTTGCCAAACACTTTTTGTTATGACAGCAGTGCCCCTTTAAATACTAGAGTTAGGTTTTTCCTTCATATTTCCTTTCAATATATACCCAACCCCTCATCATTAATATTATGAATATATGAGATGTAACCCTGCTATGTGACTGTTACTGTAAGGATGGTTAATGTAACTGTTCAGAATTTATACTGGTACATTTACTTGTGGCTGTATGTCTATTAAACCTCAATAAAATGTTATAAAAAGAAACAATCATACTGCTAAGAAATAAATGTATGGCTGCCTTCAATTTGTACTCATTTTTATAGTGATAAGACTCACTGCACATTAGCTACATCATTCAGAAAAGAACAAACCCGTAACTCTTACACATACTGTACATACACATACTGGCCATTTCTAGCAGGAGTGTTACAATCTCGTCTCTCTTAAATCAGTCTCTGCTGGCCTGTGCGCTGACATGTGCGATCAACATGCCTCACAGCTACTACTCTTTCGCTGCGAAAGATTAATTAGTCTGGATTGAGAACTTGTCTCTTTCAGAAGGCAGAATTCATTTTTGTTAAGGCTTTGAAGCAGAACAATGCAGGAAATCAACAGACAAATGGCAATTTAGAGCAGTTCTTTATTTTACAGACACCTGCTGAACAAAAGCAATACTAATTCCATGTTTATTTCACAAGGAACCTGTCTAGCTACCCGATTTCCTTCTTAGATGGAAAAGGCAGCTCTATTGTTCTGAGCTGAAGTCCAGCCTTTCTCATAGGCTTCATTCCACTCTAAACGTAATTATGTTGAACATACATACAACTCAAGTGAGGGATTAGCTCAATCAGTGAAGTGCTTATTTGGGTAGCAGGCTCAATGACAGCATCTTTCAGAGATTTTAGATATAATGATGGAGATGCATTTCCATTTTTGCATTACTTCTTACATTCAAGAAACATAACCAAGTATTTCTCCAAGTCAATCCGAATCATCCAGAGCTTCACTCTTATTCTAACCGGTGATCAAGGTGTTGTCAGAATTTCAATATTGAACTATTCAGGAAATTTCATGCAGGGCATAAGCAGACGAAATAGATTAACAGTAAATAAATCAATAGTACAATACACTAACTTGATCAGAAGGGGAATAGATTGAAACATGTTGGGTTACCAACCACAATCTCTTCCCTCACAGACACCGAACACACTTGGGATTGTGACCAGAAGTCATTAAGAACAAATATTCCTTTTGATAATCAAAATGATTTTAATAATAATAATAATCCTTGCATTCGACATAGTGCTTTTACTTCTTCTAGACGTCTCAGAATATAGTGTAAAGTGAATTGACTATATATTTGTGGGCGAAACCCGGCAGC